GTATAAGTCTTTCCTTTCTTTTTGTTTCTTTCCTTTCTCTTTCCTGTTCCACTCTTACCCTTCCTCTACTCTTTTACCTTATTACTTATTAAAGGCTGCTCTCTTGCAGTCCTTCAGCACTTTCTCAACCTTTTTGTTTCTTATCGGTTAATGTTTATTCTTGTATATTTTGTATGTGCTGTGAAGTTGTTTAATAATAATAATAATAATAATAATAATATAATTGTATAAGCATTAATGACTCTCCAGCACTTTTAAAGACTAAAACAATCTTCCAAAACCCATTTCTCCTTTGCACTGGGTACAAATGTTGCAAAGTAGAACACAGGTATGTACATGTATGCCACAATAATTTCTTTTAAAAAAGCATAATTATTTATACATGAAATATAAATAGTATCATGTAATATAAATAGTATCACATCTACAAACTATATGCATGGATAATGTCTTTCAGCTAGATACCGTAATTTGCCATTTTTTCAATGTGAAAGTACTTTCGTACGGCCTTAAAATGACGAAAATATTTCAATCGAAATTTTTGAGCAAACAAAATTTGTGACCAAATTCATCAATGAAAGACTAAGGTACAGACTGATGAGTAGGCAGCATCTTGTATCTCTAACCTTGCTGTATCCACTGGTGCTTGTAGAACTTTGATCTGTCGCTTCATTACTGAGTTATAAAACAAAAAGGTCCATCATGTGACAAAAGTAGCCATCCAATGCTTCCGTTTATTATCCGTAAAATGGTCATTGCATGCATCTCCAGTACTATCCATATACTAGTAATGTTGGGAAACAGCCAGGTCAAGAAACTCATATCTCAGAAACTATAAATACTATATAGTGGCGTCATTACCAGTAGGTAAAGGACAAAGTATATGCAAGGGAAGCTAAATTTTCATACCGTAAAAATTTTCGTAAACTATAAAAAGAGGAAAATATTTCCCACTTGAATTTTGTTAAAACAAAAATTTTGTACGAAAAAAGGCATATTATGGTAATACATATTGTACATGTACACGTGTATAAATCTTCCAGTGGTAAGTTAAACTTCATGTAATACCACTATTGCTGTCATTGTCAATAGCAAAACCACGATGCATGTACATGTAGTATTATTCTGTTAGTAATAGATAAATCAGATACAGCGCGAGTAGGCATGTTATAGGATATATATATTATTTTGAGTAGGCAGATCACGTTATACGCATGTGCAGTAGCTAGCAGCCTAGCACATGGCAAGAGAAGATGCTACTTCGACAAGCAACAGTCTTCCTTGTTCAAAGAACTTGAAAGAAGCATTGCTTTAGTTTATAACTGAAGAACCATGTAGTTACCAGTAAGTAAAATGATCCGAACCCACCTAATTCTGACAGATTAGTAGTTATAGACTCAACACTCAATGGGCTATGCCTATGGTCAACTACACACAATAGCTGGTGGCAGTGCCATTGTAAACAGTCTCAGAGTGACGATGGCAAGCCACCCAAGGATTAGACTCGCTAGCCAGACCATTCCCCAGCCCCCAGTCATTGGGGTGGACCCCCGCCAACCACCTCAATGACTGTAGGCTGGGAAATGGTCTGGCTTACAAGACTACCAGAAGATATCTTGAAGCCCAACTGCTCTGTTGAATTGCTTATCACTGGCTTCCATAGTATCACTTGAGAATACATATTCTTTTATTGATCATTATAAAAGTTATTTTAAAAATTAACAACTGGTGCCTGTATCAAAGATAAAAGCTTTTACAGTTACTTGTGGTTAGCTACATGCACTGCATCACATATACAGCATCTGCGGTAACTTTGATCCGCCCACTCAAGAGGATATATATATATTTATATCCTGAAGAAGCCACACATCAAAGAAAAATGTGGGTGTATATATTGCATATACTCCCTAGGTTTGATATATTACCCTTTGAAGTTTCATATACTCCCTGGTTGTGGTTAACACTATAATTATTATTAATAATAATAACAAAAGAGTAATATAACACAAGTGATTAATATAAGAGTATTGTAAGTCATAAGTGATTATTATGAGAGAGCACTAATAAGTGTAGTCTGCAAAATCCTGATATCCTTCATTGATCCATTGATCCATCAATGATGAGGGTGGAGGCAAATACTGTGGATATGGAGCTGGACTTGCCTGAGCTTTTCCACCACCAAAAACATTCACAGTACAATTGTTGTACTGTACCATTGGTTGTTTGGAAGCTTTAGGAGAAGGATTCTCTTCTTCTATCTTAATAGAAGTACTACATGTAGCTTCAGTCACAGCACATGTTGATATAGGTTCTGGCTTTGGATTGTAACTGTCAGCTTCTCCACTTAGTATACGAGATACAGCCATTTCCTGATCAACCGATGTACGCTCATACTGCCTCAATGACTGTAAACTACGGTGTCCCGTCCTTTCCTGTATTATTCGTTCAGGTACTCCAGCTCTGTATAATGACGTAGCTCCTGCAACTCGTAACGAGTGATTTGTTTTCTTTCCAGATAATCCTGCCTCTGTAGCCATGTCCTTTACCATGTTTCCTAATGTGTTTTTTCCAACTGGAACAGGATAATACCAGGGCTTATCCTCTGAAGCAACTGGTGATGGCTTGCAGTAAAAATAATCTTTCTCTGTGGCAATTGGGGGGAGTTTCTTAAGGTACATATCCAATAAAAAGACATGGCAACGAATCCCTGCAGCATGATTAGCAACAATTGGAACAGTTTTATGTTCAAGCCTAATTTGAGCTGTTCCCCCAGGTCAATTCTTTGACGATCTCTCCGAGTAAATATAACGATCAGGATTATACAAACGCTTCAATTGGCTGACTCCTAACTCCCTGTGTTCTTGCCCCCCACGAAGACAAAAGCACTTCCCATTATAATAAAATACACAACGAAGTAAACCTTTAGGAGAGTCGATATTTAAAACACCTGTTTCCCAAAGTGTGTCTTCCTCCTCAGAAGTAATAGTTTCAGTGTGAGATGCTTCAGCACCAATGCTACCACTGCGGAGGCTCTTAAAGACATTATTAAGTGTAGCTTGAAACATAGAAAATGCAGGATCATCTTTGCTAAAGAAGTTAGGATAACTTGGGTTTTCTTGCCTCATATAACGGAGCATTCCAGAGAGAAGTGACTGGATTGTACTAGGTGGATATAGCTCACCGGACTTATTTCGAGTTTCGCTTAAATACACACACAGCCATTTATTGAGTAAGTCCTTAGAACAGCTGGGAGTAATTACCTCTTTTGGGCAGGTAGCATCCTCGTTCCTTTTGTTGTACTCGTGAAACCACTCTACAAAATTTGCCATTGCCCATTTGCTAGACTTTTCGGTATTTTTTGTCATTTGTGTCTTCGCCATAGAACTTAAAGCCTCCTCGGACACACTACCAAACCTTTTCTCCTTTCTTTTGCCTTTCAGAGACAGAGAAACCTTGCGCTTCTTGGATGGGTTAGGATCAAACAATGGATCGATGTTTTCTTTCTCTGCCATTTTTCTACACGTGACCACTACTGAGCATGCTCAATAGGTTTTTAGACACGTGTTCCATATAAATTCGAGGTGTGGCTTCTTCAGGTAATAAATTTAATATGCCACACCGGTTCGGTGTATATGGCTATATACGACCCTCGCCCTCGGGCTCCGCCCTCGGGTTCGGGGCGTATATAAGCCATATACACCTCACCAGTGTGGTATATCATATACATAAACCATACATGTACATACTCATATTTTCACTTCTTCCACATACAAATTACATGCACATATACATGTACTTAGCTGCAAAAATTAATACATGTCAATTTTTCTATTAAAACTTACTGATCTTGAACTAAAAGCTCGCACTCTGACACAAAGTTTGATTCCTGTCCAATGATGGTCAGTTCTTCTTCCATCAGCTAATAAGAAAAAATAATAACAACCACATTCAAGGCAATTAAAGGCCATTGACTCTACTCAGCTTATGAAAAGGTACAACAAGAAAAGCATAATATTGCCAGTCAGTTAATCTGTTAAGAAAAAAATACAAAAGCAAACCAAACTTTCTGTCATCAAAATGTCACTTATAGCCCCACCCTATATGGCTGTAATGCACAAGCTCTGTCATTCTTCAAGTGTTTCTGCTCCTTAACTGGTGAGTACTGCTAAAGCTAAGGTAGAAACTTATCTAACTTGAGGCTATATTGCTATGCTCCTATAGCAAGGCCCCAGAGAACTCTTGGAGTATCAAATAAGTCAATAATTAGACAACTTGGACACATGCACATGTACTGTACATACTATTTTCTAGCAAAGGAAGTGCTTAATTTTAAAAGTACAACCCTCTGTGTGTCCGTACATCCAGGCCCAACTAGACATTGGCCACGCCAAGAATAGATAATATTCTATATCATCTACTCTTGGCCACACCTAACTGCTACAGCATGACAATCGTCTGCCACACAAAAAAACAATTCTCAACAGAATTGTCAAGCAAGAAGTCTTATAGCTTTCCAATACAATGTACATAGAAGCATAGACTCTGGAACTATTGAGGTTATTTTGACTTTATTTGTCTACAGTGATAAAATTAAAGACATAAACACACATTCACATTCAAGGTTTTTGCACTGACTCTTCAGGATTTGCAGATGCAATGGACCTTATGCACCGAAATGATTCTAATTAACGCGCACCCAAAGTGGTGGTAAAATGGCGGACTTTTTGCGCATAAACACAGCTGAAGTTTTATCAGTTTTATCGCAATACGATCGCTGTAGGAGCTACTCTGGTTATTTCTACTGTTTCTTCTTGTTATCTCCTTTCATTTATATCTTTTTAAAGCTGCTTAATTCCCTTTTGATACCTTTTTTTGAACGATATAA